GGAGCAGGGGTTCCTGTGGCTGAGCTGGGGGTGCAGCAGCCCCGCCGTGCCCCCCAGGCTGGCACCAGCACGGGGGTCTCGGTTCCTGCAGCCCCCAGGCGGCCCCAGGGGGACCCCCCAGCCCCAGCCCACCACCACCGCCTGCAGCCCCCGGCAGCGCTCGGACACCGCAGCAGAGGCCGGGGGCACCTCGGGCACGCCGGGAAGGGACAGCAGGACAGCCACCCCTCTTGGGGACAGGGGGGACCCTCCTGCAGCGCCCCCGATGCCCCCCCCGCCCACCCACTGCTGCGGGACCGGCTGCCCCAACTGCGTCTGGGTGGGATACGTGGAGGAGCTGCTGGAGCGGCACCGGGACGGCGGCGCCCAGGCCTTGGCGGCCGTGGAGCAGCACGTGGAGGACGAGAACATCAAGATGATCCTCAGGATGGAGATCAGGCTGCGTGCCAGGAAGGACTGAGCCTCCCCCGGGCTCCCCAGCCCCGGGGGGGACACCCCTGGGGTGGCAGGATCCGGGCCTGGGTTGTCTGTAGTGTTTGCTGTGTGCTGAGCACGGCATCCCGGGGGTGTCACACGAGGCCAGGTCACCTCCTGTCTCACAGGGAGCTGTCCTTGGGGACAGGCGGTGACTCAGGGCTGTCCTGAGCCCCGGATTTCCCAGGAGCTGGATGCTGTGCCCTCCCCAGCATGGCAAATCCCTGCCAAGGGCAGGCTGGGCGTTCCCCCAGCCCTCCTCCTCCTGTGCTCCCAGCTGGAATTTAAGCACCTTGGGGGGATTTTCAGCACCTTGGCCATGCCCTGGTGATGGGGAGGGCTGTGCCAGACCCCTCCCCACTGGCACCACAAAGCCTCTTAGGGGCCTCTCCGTGGGGGCTTGGAGGGCAGCGTGTGGCACCGAGCACGTGGGCAGCAGCAGCCTCCTGTCAAGGACACCGGCCCTGTCCCTGGTGTCACATCCTGCCGGGCTGCTCTGCAAGGTGCCTTTTCTGCCTCCGTCTTCAATCCCCAGAAACTTGTCCCAAATTCCCCCCTCCAATCCCGGGGGACTCGCAGCTGTTGAGACCCACACAGACCCCTGCACGTCATCCCAGGACAAAGTCCCCAGGAAGCCACCCAGCCCTCGGGTGTCACTAATGAACCCCAATTAACAGCCAGGCTCTGCTCTCTGCCAGAGAAGTAGGTGTTTCTCCATGGAAAACGCTCTTGGATCCCTTTAATCCTATTTGTTGGAGCCCAACTAATTGCAATTAGTGGTAGGGGCTGAAGTTCAATTAAAGTGTGCCGAGATTAGTCCATTTTTAATTGCTTTACTGCTGGATTAGGGAAGCTTTGGAGCAACACCAGCCACGAGCAGGGGCTGCTGGACCCTCTCTGGTATCAGGACCCCCACCCAGGCTGGGCTGGAGCCTGGAATGGGGGTCCCATTGCTCCCTCTGGGATCAGGGGACACTGGGGGAATCTCTTTGGGAATGGGAAGCAGGATTCCCCCACGTGGGATCTGCTGCCCACCGGCACGGGCAGAGCTAATCCTGACACCTCCTCCCCCCCAGAGCAGGGGAAGGACACGGGATTACCCCTGGGGAAAGCAGGGAGGTAAATAATCCTATTACCCCCGGGCAGGATAAATCTCCCTCCCCGCAAAGTCCCGGAGCATCTCTGGGCTGGAGGGAGCCGGGCCGGGTGGAGGGAGCAGCTCTGGGATCGGGAATCGTGGCACTCCGTGAGTCGGGGCTCTCCGGGAGGGGACCTGGGGTCGTTTGCTGCTCCTCCTGCGCCCAGGAACATCCAGGAGCACCTCCCTGCCTCAGATCCTAATTCCCAGGGCCGTGTCCTGCTCTGCAGCAGGGCCAGATCCCCCAAACCCATCCCAGAGCGGGGCTCTGGCCACAAAATTCCCACTCCTGGTGCCAGGGGCCATCCCTGCTCCCCCTTCCCAGCCCGGGGTACCCACCACACCCCCACACAGACCTGGGCACACCCTGCAGGGTCCTGGCAGTGCCCGAGGGGTCCCAGGTGGGGTGGGGAACGGGAGGGAGGAGCAGCAGCACCTCGGGGTGCCCTTCCCGCCTTTGGGGGGTCAGGCTGAGCCAGCCTTGTGGGGAGGGGGCTCTGCAGAGCCCACCTGGGGCGGGTGGAGGAGAAGCTGGTGGCCCCATTTCGCTCCAGGGGGGTGAGGAGCTGTCCCGTGGCAGCGCTGATCCGCAGGGAACGCCGTGAGCTCCGGGGGACACCGTGATCCACAGGGAATACCGTGAGCTCCACAGGACACCGTGATCCACAGGGAACACCGTGAGCTTCACGGGACACCGTGCTCCACAGGGAATACCGTGAGCTCCACAGGACACCGTGATCCACAGGGAACACCGTGAGCTCCACGGGACACCGTGACCCACAGGGAACACCGTGATCCACAGGGGGACACTGTGAGCTCCAGGGAACACTGTGATCCACAGGGGACACTATAAGCTCTGGGGGACACCGTGAGCTCCAGGGGGACACCGTGATCCACAGGGAACACCGTGAGCTCCAGGGAACACTGTGAGCTCTGCAGGACACCGTGATCCGCAGTGGACACCGTGAGCTCCGGGGAACACTGTGATCCACAGGGAACACCGTGATCTGCGGTGGACACCGTGAGCTCCGGGGAACACTGTGATCCACAGGGAACACCGTGAGCTCCAGGGGAACACCGTGAGCTCTGGGGGAACGCCGTGAGAGCCCCGGGGCTGTCAGCCTCCCCCCAGCCATGAGCCTGGAGCCTCCCAAGCTGGAGGTCAAATCGGCCACGAGGGTGAGCGGGGGTCCTGCCACCCCCCGCAAGGGACCCCCCAAGTTCAAGCAGAGGCAGACGAGGCAGTTCAAGAGCAAACCCCCCAAAAAGGGGGTGCAGGGGTGAGTGGGGAAGGGCCCCGGGAAGGGGGTGGGCCCTGCCTGGGGTCAGGCCAGACAATTCCTCTCTCCTTGCAGGTTTGGTGACGACATCCCGGGCATGGAGGGGCTGGGAACAGGTATGGGGATGGCATCCCTGTGGCAGCGGGGGGCAGGGCTGGGGAGGGCTCACACTGCCACAAGCTCTGTCCTCTCTCTCTGCAGACATCACCGTCATCTGTCCCTGGGAAGCCTTCAGCCACCTGGAGCTGCACGAGCTGGCTCAGTACGGAATCATTTAGGATTTGGGCAGCTCACCAGCCCTGTAGTGCTATGTAGGTCGAGGCCCCCCTGCCCATGCTGTCAGGGGGCTCAGTTTGGAAAAATCCTCATTAAACCCTAACGAGCACAGGAGTCAATGTTGTGAGCTGGGGAGGAGGGAAAGCGGCTCCCCAGGGCCTGGGGTGGGACGGGCAGGACACCAACGGGTTCAGGATTCTGACAAGGTTTATTTGGGGTGGACCAGCACCCCAGACACCCCCAAATCCCCACCCAGACAGCTGCACTGTCCCTGCACACCCTCAGCAGCAGCACCCACGGCGATGATGGTGGCACAGACGAGACGCAGAGGGGTTCAGTATTTCCAACAAGGTTTATTTGGGACCAAACCCGCCCCGTGCACATCCCAATCCCTGCGGTGCCCTCACTGCTGTCACCTCCCCGAGCACCCTCAGAGCCAGGAGGGCTCCCACGGCCTCCAGCAGCACCAGGGCGGTGGCGCCGGCGGCGATGGCCCCGGCCTGGCCCCGCAGCCAGGCGGCCAGCGTGGCCCCGCAGCCCCCGGTGTGCAGCAGGGCCCCGGCCGCCGCGCCCGGTGCCAGCGCCCCGAACCCGCACCGGGCATCGGGCACGGAGCCGGCCCGCGGCGGCGCCCGGCAGCAGGAGGCTGGCACGCCGCACGCGCCCGCGCCGCTGCAGTTGAAGTACCTGCGGGAGGGACACGGAGATGTGGGGGCACGCACATTTGGGGTCTGGGGATGGGGGCTCCCACCCCCCCAGCCACACAGCCGGACACCAACTGTGGGTTCTGGCTCGTCCCTCTCCGTTCTGGGGCTCCCACCGCCCCGAACACGAGTCCCCAGCACACACCCCACAAGGGAAAGGTTGGTTTTCAGCCCCGTGGTGGGCTTGGGGGTCCCAAAAATGAGGCTTTCAGCCCTGTGGTGGGCTTGGGGGTCCCACAGAGGAGGCTTTAACCTCCATTGTGGGGATGGGGTCCCACAGAGGAGGCTTTCAGCCCCATGTTGGGCTTGGGGTCCCAAAAATGAGGCTTTCAGCCCCGTGGTGGGCTTGGGGTCCCAAAAATGAGGCTTTCAGCCCTGTGGTGGGCTTGGGGTCCCGCAGAGGAGGTTTTAACCTCCATTGTGGGGATGGGGTCCCACAGAGGAGGTTTTCAGCCCCGTGTTGGGCTTGGGGTCCCGCAGAGGAGGTTTTCAGCCCCATTGTGGTGATGGGGTCCCACAGAGGAGGCTTTCAGCCCCGTGGTGAGGATGGGGTCCCCCCTACACCCCCCTGACCCCGACTCACGGGTTGCTCTCCCAGTCGCGGTAGGACTCGAGGCCGCAGCACTGGAGACTCTGCTGCACCTCATCCACCAGGAACTGCAGGTCGGGATCCTCCTGGTAGCGCAGGAGGCAGAGCAGCAGCAGGTCCCGCAGCGCGTCCCGCAGCCGCCGCCGCAGCAGCAGCAGCAGGAGCCCCCCCAGCAGCTCCAGCCCCCCAAAAGCCAGCACGGCGCCCAGGAAGAAGCGCAGCAGGCAGGGGCTGGCTCGCAAGGCGCCCAGGCAGCCAGCCAGGGACACGGTGCTGGCCCCCAGCCCCGCCAGCACGAACAGCAGCATGGGGTCCGAGCCCAGGGACACCCCACGCTCCCCCCCGAGCAGGGGGCTCTTGGTCAGCAGCCCCCAGACCCCCACGGCAAGGGTCAGCAGCCCCAGCAGGAGGAAGAGGAGGTTCCAGAGGAAGGCCAGGTAGCGCACGCAGCGGCTGAAGGGTTTGGGGGGGTCCTGCTCAGCCATGTCATCATCATCATCGTCATCAAAGGAGGAGTAGCGCAGCTCCACCAGCCTGGATGCCTGCACGGACAGAGGAGCCATTCACAGCCCCACGGAAATGTTCCTCCATCCCACAGCCAGACGCTGTCACAGCCTCCTGGAGCCACCCTACACAGCCGTGCTTCGCCCCAAACCCACCCCGCTCATCACGGGGGTCTGCAGGGGAGCACCCCAAGGACTCTGACCCTAAGGGACCCCCAGACCCACCCCTATGGAGACCCCCAGGGATGCAGCACGCTGCTACCCAGGGGTGGGGGAACGTGGGGTGCCCGGTAAGGGGTCCCGTGGGCAGAGCAGCGGGACCCCGGGGTTACCTGGGGCAGCAGCCGGGCGCCCTCCCCGTGGGGCTGGAACAGGCGGACTCTGCTCAGCGCCATCGCCGCTACCTCGTGCCCGGACCCGTCACACTCCCATCATGTGAGGGGCTGCGGGCGGGCTTAAATGGGGCTGTGCGTGCCGCCCCACAGCTGGGCACGATCCCGCACCCACCCACGCCCACAGCTGGCCCCGATCCCCCCTGCCCCCCCCCCCCCCCCCCCCCCCCCCCCCCCCCCCCCCCCCCCCCCCCCCCCCCCCCCACAGCTGGCCCCGATCCCCCCTGCCCCACAGCTGGCCCCGATCCCCCCCTGCCCCACAGCTGGCCCCGCTCCCTCCCTCCAACACCGCGCGACCCCTCCGAGGCCACCGGGGGCGCTGGCTGCGGGCGGAACTAAAGAGCGAGCGCTGTGCTGGGAGGGGACACTTGTGTCTGTAGCACCGAGGCAGCATGGGGGACCATTGTGTCGGTGACACCGAGGCGGCACGGGGGGCACGACTGGCGGTGACGCCGGGTAGGAACTTTGGTGCGGCGGAACGCGGGCGCGGGGCGCGGGGCCGGGGGGGGCGGGCGCGAGGGCGGGCCGGTCCCGGGAGGCGGCGGCCGGGCCGGAGGAGCCGGGAAGGGCCGGGAGGGGCCGGGAGGGACCGGGAGGAGCCGGGAGGAGCGGAGCGGAGCGGGCCGTGGCAGTGCGGCGCGGCGAGCCCCGGCCCGCGGGCAGCGCCATGGCCGAGACGATTGTGAGTGCGGCCGGGGGAGGGGCGATGAGGCAGCAGATTCCTGTGGGGCCGGGACGGGGGCCCGGGGCCGGGGCCGGCGCTGGCCGGGCCGGGCAGGCCCCGAGCGGCGCCGCGGGCGCGGGGCTGCGGCGGGGGGCTCGGGGCTGCTCGCTCCGGTGAGGGAATCCCGGCGGGCTGGTGCCCGGGAGGGAGCGGCGGAGTGAAAGGGGTGACGGCGGGACACGGGCAGCTCGCCGTGGCCCCTCCCGTGCCTGTGCCTTGCCCGTGTCCCCGTGTCACCCAGCCGCGGTTGAGCGTCCCCTTTAGAACCGCCCGAGTCCCAGCGCTGCCCCTCAGCGCTCCGGGGACACCGAGATTTAATTTGTCCCTTCCCTGCCTGTCCCCGGAGGATTCCCCTCCCTGTTTCCCCCGACCAGCAGCTCCGGTTTCCCGGGGGCCGCTGGAGTCTCTCCCTCCTCCCTCGCTACCGGGGCTCAGCCACGACCGGGGCAGTGCCCAGGAGCACCCGCTGGGCCGGTGCCTGTGTGGAAAACTCCCTTGAGAAGGTCTGATCCAGCCTCCTGAAGGTCTCGTTCCATCTCTGAGGTCAGAGCTTTGGCCAAAGGTGCTTTCCTTGGTGCCAGCTCGTGCCCAGAGCCCGGAGCGTTGGAATGATTCCCCCCGTGCTCACAGACATCTCCCAGAGCTGCCCCAGAGCTGCTGCCTGGTGTTTCCAGGCCCTGTGGAAGAGGGAAGCAGGAGGGAGGAGCAGGGGACAGCAGGCTGGGGGCTCAGGGTGGGCTCAGTCCCCGTTCCTGACCCGCTGTTCCCGCATTCCCAGATTATCCGTGTGCAGTCGCCTGAGGGAGTGAAGAGAATCACGGCCACGAAGAGAGAAACGGTGGGAACGTTCCTCAAAAAGGTACCCCGGGTGCACAGTGCCTCCCCAGGGATGGGGCAGGGCTCCCCTGCCTCTGTCCCTTGGCAGATCCGTGTTTAACCCCCCTGGCAGCAGCATTCCATGTGGAAAACCACACTTTGGGTGGTGTACCTTGTGTTGCTCCAGAGGGAAAATGACAAATTTAAAGAAAAAACTCCCTCAGCTTCTTTGTTGCAGCTTCCCAGGATGGGAACTTTCCTGGGAAGGACTTTTTGGGGTTTTCCCAAAGAAGTGGCAGCTGGGAAGCAGAAGGGGAGCTGTGGGATGGTCAGACCTGCTGCTCCAGGCTGGCTCAGCTGCTGGGTTGGGGCTTGGAATATCGTTTGGGTGGGCTGTGTGCTCTCCTGGGATTCCAGTCTGGGCTTGGAGAGAGCAGGGGAGGGATGCAGTGAGCCCCCAGGAGCTCCTGGGAGGGGAGCACGGCAGGTGGGAGCTCTGGGGATGGGGCTGGCCCTGCTGTGGTGCAGCTGCTCTGTGCTCTGCAGGAGGGAGCAGCTGTCCCTTTGCTCCTCTGCTGGAGTTCCTCTGGAGCCCTCGCCTGGGGGTTCTTTGCTCCATGATGTGTATTCCTGCAGGGAAGGGAATGGCAGCAGTGGGAACCTTCCCTTTGTGAGTCACAGCTTGGGCTGGAGCTGTGGCCCAGACAGGACAGCGTTCCCACCTGGCCAGGAAAATCCTGCTCTTTTCCAGGGCTGGCTCAGGGACACTCCCTGCAGCCTCAGCCAAGGCAAGAGGAGCTTCCAGGACCTCTGGAGCCTGTGCAGAACGAGCTGCTGCTTTCCAGAGCTCGGGTTACTCGGGCTGGAAAACATTTCCTGCCAGGACAAAGGCACCTGGAATTGCCTGTTCACCTGGGGAGGGCTCTGGCCTCTGGCTGAGCTGCAGCACACACGGGTTGGGGTTTATTTCCTGCCACAGGGTTTGCTTGCAAAGAGGAAAGTGGCAAATTTTCCCACCTGAGGTCTGTGTTTTATCTAAATCCGGGTCTCTCCTACCTGTACTGTGGATTTTAATGCTGGACTGTTCGGCCAGGGGCTGGGTTTGGTGTTTAGGGGGACAGCTGTAATTAGAGAGGTGTCAGATTGCTGCTTCCATACCAGGAATTAACCTGGATCTGCTCCAGAAGTGCTCAAGGAATAAAGGGCTGGAGAATCTTCCCTGTCTCCTGTGGCACATCCCAGGGAAAAGCACCAGAAAAAGTCACTCTGGCTGTGCTCAGGATCAGGAACCAGCTCCAACCTGCTGGTAGTGTGTTGTGAGATTTGTCTGCCCCCAAAAATGGAATTCTGTGGCCTGGGGAACAGGAGCTGATCCCTGTGAAAGGATCCCATTCTAAGGGATCTCTCAGTGCTGCAAATCACAGCTGACAGGAAAAAAAAAACCTGCTTTTCATGGCTGTGCTCATGTGACAGCTCTTTGTGGCTCATCAGATTTGTCCTGTGGGCAGGATCCCGTCCCTGACTCGGAGCAAAGGCAAGGGGATTGGTTTTGTTAATAAAAATAAAGGCCTTTCCCTTCAGAATTTAGGGCAAAACCCGGCAAATGGACAAACTTTAAACACCACTTGATGAAGTTCTCAAGGAGCTAAATCTGCCAATTATTTGCTGGGAAGAGGTGTTGGAGTGATTCCAAGTAAATGAGACTTAATCTGAGCTGGGAGAACCTGCCTGGGGACTGAGGGGTGGCTGTTGTGGGAGTGAATTCCATGGGAGAGAGGAGAAAAGGGGGGAAAACCAGACAGAACAGCAGGAAGAGGTTGAGTGAAGCAGCTGGGAGGTGGGAATGGAGCTGAGGGCAGAAGATCCACAGAGGTGGAGGTGTGGATTGTGGAATTCTGGTGGCAGGAGGATGGGAGTGATTGGAGGTGTGTGTTGTGCAGCTGGAGCAAGAACACTGGGATAGTGGAGAAGTTTCCCCCTGCTGCTGTGCAGTGTTGGAATCTGAGGTATTGATGATCCTTAGATTGCAGAAAGTCTCTGTCTGTCAGCCCCCTGCCAAAGCAGAAGCCATAATTGGTCTGTGCTGGTTTCCAGGTTGTTTATTCTGTTTATCTCTCACATGTTCTGCTGCCCTGCCCAGCTCTGTCCTGCAGGGCAGCGTGTGGGGCTCTGCCCTCAGTGGGATGTGACAAACATTAAATACCAGAAACTCCCTGGGCTGCATTTACAAGAACGTGCCAATATCTGTCACCTACGTTGGACAGTGTGTCCCCAGCCTGAACCAACAGAAAAATGCCAACACCACAGTGAGACATGGAGGGCATGAAGAAGGAGAAAAAGGACAAGGCACACCCAATTTCCTCCATCTTGTCCTCTTTGAACCCCTAATCTAGAAACTTAAAATTTTACTTCTGCGCCCGTGCCACACCTAATTATTACTTATATCAAACACTCAGAGCTTGTAATTCATCCTGTAAGATGGAAAACTCTTTTCCATGGCCAGAGATCACAGCCAGTGTCTCTGGGGGCTCTGTCCAGGGGGGTTCCTGACCCTTGCCAGGGTCCCAGACCTGCCAGGGCAGCCAGAGGGAAGCTCTGGGTTCCCACAGTGCAGTGCTTGCCTGGCTGCAGCTGAAACTCTGCCTTTGTGTTGTGTGAGGCAGGGACAGTTCTGGTGAAGTTGTTTCAGCTCCTGTTTAATCCATTGCTCGTTTTTCCTGGTGTTTCCATCTCTTGTTATCCCGAGCTCAGGAATGGGGGTGAATTGAGCTGAGTTGCTGGAGGAGAAGGTCTCTGGGGCTAGCTGTGGCTCTGAGCCCCTTTCAGGAGGCTCACACCTCACACCTTGTCTCTTTTCCCCGTGTTGCAGGTGGCCAAGGAGTTTGGGTTCAGGAATAATGGCTTTTCCGTGTACACCAACCGCAACAGGACCGGCGAGATCACGGCGGCACAGAACAAATCCCTCAACCTGCTCAAGATCAAGTGAGTCCTCACCACACAGGCTCTGCTTGGAGCTTCCAGAATGGGAGAAGTCACATCCCGGGAGTTCCCAGCTTCCAGTGTCACTCCTGGGCCTTGGGGGTCACAGGGACACGGGAGAGGTGGTGGCTGTTCCTTGGGTCACTCCTTGGGGTGTGTTTGCTGTGGGGAGGCTTCATCCCAGTTTCCCTCCCTAATCCCTGCTTTCACCTCTTTGTCCTAGTTTTCCCAGCCTCATCCCCACTTTGCCTCTCTCATCCCCAGCTTTCCCTGCCTTATTCCCCCACTGCCCTCCTGTATCCCAGTTTTCACCCTTTCACCCCTGCCTTCCCTCACACACTTTCCCTCCCTCACCCTTCTTTCCCTACCTCATCCCAGCTTTCTCTCCCACATCCTTGTTTTCACTCCTTCATCTCCACTCCCTCCTCCGTATTTTTCCCTCAGCTTTGTTTCCTGCTGGAAGGATTTGCATTTATGGCAAATAAAAGCAGGAAGAGGTGGCTCAGCTCCCAAGTGCCACCTGTGCTGGCCTGGTTAGAACCTGTGCCACATTCCCTGCTCTTCCATGGAAGTTGGCTGCCTGCTGGGAAGCACCTCCAGCTTCCTGGCTGTTGTCTCCCACAGTTCCCATGTGCTGTTTCCCACCCTGCAGGCACGGGGATATGCTGTTCCTGTATCCCTCCAGCCCAGCTGGCTCCTCCTCAGAGACCATGGACACCTCTGTCTCCCAAAATTCCCGGCCTGGGGGGGCTCCCCAGGTGGTGGAAGATGAGATTGACCAGTACCTGATCAAACAGGATGGGAAGATTTACCGGAACCGAGACCAGCAGCTGTAAGTGGGGCTGGGTCGTGGTCCTGCCCATGGAGCTGGGGCTCACCAGAGCCTGGAGTGTCACAGCCCAGCCCAGCAGTCAGGAAATTCCTGTGGGTGCTGCCCTTGGCTCCATCTTGACTGCTCTGGGGACCTTCTCAAGGGAAAACAGCCCCTGCTGTTGTCCCAGGAGGTTCAGTGGAGTCCTGGTGAGCCCAGGGAGGAAGCAGATGCCCAAATCCCAGGGTTTTTGGCAGGAAGGACTTGCTCAGAGGAACCATTGCTCTGATGGAGGAGACCCTGGTTCTTGTGCTCCTGGATTTTGTGCTCATAAAGCACCGGAATTCTCTAGATTGGAATGAACATTCTGCATTTTTCCTGGGCAGAGGTAGATGAGATTTGGAAGAAATTCTTCCTGTAAGGGTGTGAGGCCCTGGCACAGGGTGCCCAGAGCAGCTGTGGCTGCCCCTGCATCCCTGGCAGTGCCCCAGGCCAGGTTGGATGGGGCTGGGAACACCCTGGGCTAGGGGAAGGTGTCCCAGCCCATGGCAGGGGTGGAATAGGAGGAGCTTTAAGGTCCCTCCCAACCCAAAGCATTCCAGGATTTGCTGTCCCAAGCAGGAGCACTCTGTGCCTTCAGACTCAGCCACTCCTCATAAGGGAGCACATGGAATTGAGGGGAAGGAGTGGAGGTATCCAATGGCAGAGGTTTGGGAGTGGGACTTGGGTCTCTGCCTGCTCTGGCTTCCCTTCATCACGTCTGCCTGACCTCTCCAGGAAACCAGGGAGTCCCCTTTGCTCACAAAAATGCACCAAAGTCCAACTTCCTCAAAGCTCTTCCTTGCAAGAGGCTTAGGGAAACAAAGCAGCTTCTCTTTATGCAAAAAATAACACAACGAACTAAACCCACCCAAAATCTGCTCTGGTGCTGCTAAAACATCCTCTGCTGGGAGGGGTCTTTTATTGCTCAGTGTTAATGACCCAGTTGGGTCCTGGCCTGATATCTGCACTGGTTGTGGCCTTGGGGCTGGAACCCTCTGGACTAAAACTCCTGAAAAGGTTGGAGGGAAAATTTTAAAGTCAGGAATTCCTGCTAAAACAGGATGGTTTGTCCTTCCCCTTGGGGTTGTGCTCCATGTGGTTTATCCTCAGTGCTGCAGCAATGAGGAAGTTTGTGGAGAATCCTCCCTGACCTTCCCAGCTGAGTGTAAGTGATGGGCTGTCACATCACTGGAGCAAAAAGGCAACCCCAGCACTCTGTGGAAGAAATATTGCCTTCAACTTGCCCACATTTTCCAGAGGAATTGATGGAGTTATTCCTAGCAGGGAGCCGAGGCCCAGGGGAGGGTGTTGAGGATAAAAGGAGTTGTCTGGGCTGGTTCCTGCCTTTGGGAGTGTGGATCAATCTCCAGTGAAGGATGCTGAGTGCTTCAGCAGCATTTAACTCTCCTTTCTGTACATTATCTGCCACAAAACATCCTTAAAAGAACTCCTGCAACTGGATTCCATCCATTGTTTCACAGCCCAAGCTCACTGCTCCTCTCCTGGGCCCTTCCTTTGGAAACCAGCACCGACCTGGCGTTAGTTTAGGGGTTTTTTTAAAGCAGTCACCACAAAAGGAGATGTTTTCCCCTCTGTAACTCTACCCATCAGGACTTTATCTGCCTGTTAAACACACACTTCCCTGGTTGTTCCTGCCCTGCCTGATAAAGGAGGAACATTTTGGGTGGCTTTTTGTTAAAATCACCCTGACACGCTGGGACTGGAGAACTGCTCAGAGCTTGTGTAGATCTTCCACACCAAACTTACTCCAGAGACACTTTTACAGGCTGATTTTTCAGCCTTTAAATAAGATTTATTCCTCCTTCAGTTTCCAGGTGAAATGAGATTTAACCCCAGTTCTCTCTCTCTGCCCAGGTGTCGCCACGGCCCCTTGGGCAAATGTGTGCACTGTGTCCCACTGGAGGTAAGAGCCCCAGGAAGGTGCTACAGACTCACCCCAGTTCCTCCCAGTAGGAACACTTTTCCTAGGAATGGTGCCTGCCAGGAGGTGGCAGCTCCAGGTTGGAATCCTGTCCTCCACTGCCACAGCTGCACTCCTGGGTTCTGGGATCATTGAAGTTTGAGATCTTTGTGGCCCTGGGTTGATCCTGGTTAAAAGCTGGTTTTCTGCAGTAATGAGTTTATCCGAAAGTGCTTCAAAAAAGCTCCATTCTCCCTCAGTCCTCACTTTGCCCTGGATTTTCTTGTTTTGTCCCCTGTCTCCTGGATCCCAGCACTTCCCAGTTTAGCCACCAGGCACAGGGTGCCCAGAGCAGCTGTGACTGCCCCTGAATCCCTGGAAGTGCCCAAGCCCAGGCTGGATGGGGCTTGGAGCACCCTGGGATAGGGAAAGGTGTCCCTGCCATGGCAGGGGGTGGAAGGGATGGGCTTTAAAGCCCCTCCCAACCCAAACCATTCCATGGTTTAGCAGCTTTAGTCACACCTCCAGACGTTCTGGGCTGTGTAATTTATGCCACGAAGCAGCAGCCACCCCTCCAGAGGGGATCCTGCTGTGCCAGGATGGCTCTTCCCCTTTGCTGGAAATGCTGTGGGAGTCCTTGACCGTGTTGGAACAGCTGGGCCTGTTGTTTGTTGTTAGATATTGAAAGGAAAAAGCCTTTTGCCTTTGAGATTCTGATTTGTGGGGCCAATCTGTTCCCGGAGCAGGAGGCCACCATAAAACTCCCTGTTGTAAAGCTCCACTGTTTGCATCCCAGTAGTAGCTGCCTTGCAAATGAGCCTGAATTTCCTTGATTGCTTCCACATTGGTAGGGTTGAGTGTGGAACATGCATTTGCTGAGGGATCAGGGTGTTATCAGACAGGTGTGTGACCTGGCTCTGCTCTGTGTGGTGTTTTTGGCAGCCCTTCGATGAGGATTATTTGAACCATCTGGAGCCTCCTGTGAAGCACATGTCATTCCATGCCTACATCAGGAAGCTGACTGGAGGGGCAGACAAGTAAGGAAATCTCTGGGTTTAAGAGAATCTGGTTGGAGCTTTGGTTTTTTTAGCACAAATGAAAGTACAGACAGATCTCAGTGTTGGACACGAGGATTGAATGGCAAACGGAGGAGGAAAAAACACATTAAAAAGTTGAAGTTAAAAGGAAAAGGCAGGAGGGAAAACTTAAGTCTGTCTTTTTATTTTATGTCCCAATTTTATTTCAGTTTATTCTTTTCCTGTGGCAATATGATTCCTTCCAGGAAACACTCCTGATGGGAGGGAAGGCCAGATGGAAGGAAAGAAGTTCCCTAATTACACCAAGCTCCAAGCCTGTTTCTCAGACTTGGTGGACATAAGTTACACAGAGGTGTAATCTTCTCCCTGCCATTCCTCAATACCATTGAGACTTTTAAAATCTCTTTGGGAGATGCAGCTCAAGTCCATGAGACTTCCATTTGAAGGGAATTTCCCTTTCCAGGAAGCCTTGTGCACATGAAAGGAGGATTTGCTGTGGTGCTACGATCTCTTACTTCCCACAGGCTCCATAAATGATTGCTCCAAAAGCATTTACTGTGCTAACAGCAGCCTTCTCTTCACCCTCCTCATTTTCTTCACCCTCTTGCTTCTGCCCCTTCTCATCCTTATTTATTTCTTTCTGTTCTCTGTTTCTCTTCCCCCTCTTCCTTCTCTTCTCCCCCTTCTCATCCTTATTTCTTTCTTTCTGTTCCCTGTTTCTCTTCCCTGTTTCTCCTCCCTCCTCTCCCAGAGGGAAGTTTGTAGCCCTGGAGAACATCAGCTGTAAGATCAAGTCGGGGTGTGAGGGACACCCTCCCTGGCCCGAGGGGATCTGCACCAAGTGCCAGCCCAGCGCCATCACCCTCAACCGACAGGTGAGAGGAGCTTGGGCACCTGCCAGGGGACCTGGCTTTTGGTTTGGGAAAGGTGACTTCCAAAAAAGCCAGCCAGGAGCACAAAGCCTCCAGGTGTCAGGGCAATCCTCTCCAGGTCTTTAGACCTTGCTAAATGGGCTTCAAAATGTCCTGGGTCAGAATTTCCTCCCAGCGTGAGGACTGAGCTAGCAGCACTGGTGATGAATCCTGCTGGTTAATCCCGCTGGTTTTCCTCACGGGATCATCCAAAAGGCCACTCAGGTCCTGCTGGTTTCCTCCTAAATTTCCGTGTCCTTTTCCCTGCAGAGGCTCTTGGTCCCAGTGAAACCCCCGAGGTGCTGGGGGTGCTGAGCACATCCCACGCCCCAGGCTGAGCAGGGAGCAGTGCTGAGGGTGGGAGCTGAGCAGAGGGAAGAGGGAGGGAGTCCCCAGCCTCCCCCAGCCCTGCTGTGCAGGATCCAGCTCCGGAGGGTGGCGTGTGTCCTGGGAAGGGACCGGAGCCAGCGGAGGACGGCCTGACGCTTGAACTTTGTCAAACAGAAATACAGGCATGTTGACAACATCATGTTTGAGAACCACACAATTGCAGATCGCTTCCTAGACTTCTGGAGGAAGACAGGGAACCAGCATCTGGGATATCTGTACGGCCGGTACACGGAGCACAAAGACATCCCGCTGGGAATCCGGGCGGAGGTGGCGGCCATCTATGAACCCCCCCAGGTGAGAGGCAGGGCCCTTGGGGGCCACTGGGAATTGGGGAACACACCTTTTTAATTTGGAAAACTTCCCACAGTATTTCCAGCTGCAGGTCCACAAGGAAAACTGTTCTGAGAAAAGGTGAGACCCAGGGCCCTCAGTGCTGACTCAGGATCAGGGAGCACACAAACTGCTTTTAAGTTTGGTATTTCCAGCTGCAGCTCCCCAAGGAAAACTGTCCTGAGGAAAAAAGGACATGATTTATGTCCTTAACATCACCATCCATTGCAGCCACAGAATGAATTTTAAACTCTTATTTTGCTTTTTATTGTTTTTTACCCTCAGATGATTGAAATCCATGGTGACTGTAATGTCGGATTTCACTTTTAATCTTTTCTTGATTCCTGGTTTTCCAGCAGATTCTGTGTTAGGAAAAAACAGTTGCATCCCTTCTTTCAGTTCCTTACTAGCTCTCTGGGAAAACTGAAGCAGCTTAATCAGATAGAATGAAGTCTAAATTATTTGAAGACAAAATGATGGAGAAGCTGATGAGTTTGGCTGGAGCAGCCAGAATCCCCACTAGGTGGGGCACGGCACCACTCCTCAGCCAAGTGCTCCTCATGTATTTCCCTCCTCATGGTTTCTGCACGGCTGCCAAGTAAAATCCAACAGATTGTCAGTGGAAAAGGAACAAATGGATCCTTGGGAGTGTGGCTTGAGAGCAGAGTGGCACAGGGAGGTCTCTGGGGTGACACCAGTCTGTGGTGATGCTTGAGGGGAAGCCCAGATCTCTGCTCCCAGCCTCTGCCTCACTGCCCACAGTGGCTGCTCTGGTTTTTCCCCAGTTCTGTGTCACTAACCTGTGTCTCTTTGCTGCAGATTGGCACCCAGAACAGCCTGGAGATCCTGGAGGATCCCAAAGCCGAGGTTGTGGATGAGATCGCAGCAAAGCTCGGCCTGAGAAAGGTCAGGATGTGTCGGATCTCGTGTGTCTGTGTGGGACAGGGAGGTGGTCAGCAATTCTCTCCAGCTCCATGGATTTATCCAAGACCCTTTAGGCTACCTAAATCTTGCTAAGGTGTCATCGGCTGGTAAATATTTAGGTCTGAAACCCAAATCCAGTGGGTTTTCCTGAGCACAGGCCCCTCAAAGGGCTGTGTGGCTGCAGTAGCAGGGACAAAACAGCACAAACTCTATCTTCCCATTCTTTCCCCTCCAACAGGAGTCATTCCTGGAAGCATCTCCTTGGCAAGTGCTAATTTGGCCCAGATGGAGCTGGAGATGCCTGTGTGCTCCATTTCCAGGAGCAGAGGCTGCCCTTGGATTGTGTTCCCCTCCTTGGTGCTGCAGGGAGTCAGTGCTGTGTGGGGTTAGGGGTGCAGGTCCCCCTCAGCTGCAGTGATCCCATCAGAATTCCCTGATTTCTTGAGAGCCCTCCGACCTGCGCTGATGTTTTCTGGTTTGGGAGCAGCGCTGGTATGGTGGGAATGCCAGGAATGGGATGTACACAAACAAGATTTGACTTGCTGGAGAAAACCCGCCTGGCAGAAGGCTCAGTGCAGACTGTAAACATCTGGGGAGGGCTTTGTTCTCTCAGATAAGATCCCACCCCTCGCCAGAGGCTGGAGCAAAACTCAGAGTGTTATTTATTTCCATGTTCTCCCATCAGATATTTTTAATCCATGGGACTTAGCATGTCACCAAGTGCTGGCTGCAGGGTTTGGTCTGCCTGGGCTCTGGGGGAGTTGGGATCAGTTCTGCCTTAGAAGGGTTAATGCTGTGGGAGTTGGGATTGGCACCTGGGTGGAGAGGGATCATCCCTAGGTGTGTGCCCATGTCACAGCTCTGTGGAAGGATTGATCCCAAGGTGTTTGGACACACGTCACACACGTGTGAAAGGATTCACTCTGAGGTGTGTTTGTACCACAAAAAGCAGGAGTGTGCTTTCTGGGGTCAGTGCCAACTCCAGTTTGGAACAAGGCACACTCCAGTACGAGCTTTCTCTTAACCAGTGCATGCAGGGTTCAGAGTGGGACTGTGTGAGAGGTTCACACTGGGGCCACGTGAGTGCTCTGTCTGCCCCAGGTGCCGGATCCCGCTCCAAACTCTCCGTAGGAAATGCTGGGGGTGGGAGCGGCTGGTGGCACAGAGGCCTCTCGCAGCCTCCAGATCTTTCCATGAAAAAATATTCCATAGTGAAACCCAATGCTGCAGGTGCCCTGGCTGGCCAGCTGGCATGCTGCTGCTCCTGGAAATGGGATTCCAAGGAGCCCGGCACAGCTGGGAGAGCCATTCCTGCAGGCAGTGTGCACAGGGCCGAGAGGAGCCAAGAACATCGTGTCCTGTGAACAGAAAATGTCTGAGCTCTTCTGGTTTCCTCTTCTTTTTTTTTGTCCTTTTTCCCTCAAAGCAACGTTCTCCATCCCCTTTGTAGGTTGGCTGGATATTTACTGACCTGGTCTCGGAAGACACACGGAAAGGCACCGTTCGATACAGCAGGAACAAGGTGAGATCCAGGTGTGACCCAGCAAATTCCCAATGAATTCCAGCTCCTGAGCCAGGCAGAGAGCTGAGCCATGGCTGCAGGTGGCACTGAATTCTTGGGAGAAGGGGTTTTCCTGGCACTTCAGAAGGAAAAGGAGCTGGAACCCTTGGAAATGTTAGGGATTGAGCTGTTTGGGAAGTAGGGCTGCTGGAGCCCTTCACACTCCTGCTTTGAGGAAATGGTGCTCATGAAAGCATGGAATAGTTCAGGTGGGAAGAGACCTTAAAGCCCATACAGTGCCACCATGGGCAGGGATAACTTCACTGTCCCAGGGTGCTCCAAGCCCTGTCCAACCTGGCCTTGGACGTTTCCAGGGATCCAGGGGCAACCACAGCTTCTCTGGGCACCTTTAGCCGGGGCCTCACCCTGCTCACAGGGAAGAATTTCTCCCCGAAATCTCATCTATCCCTGCCCTTTTTAGGGCTAAGAAAACTCCAGGGAGTGGAGTGGGATGTGAGGGACAAACCCAGTGAGGCAGAGTGACTCAGAGAATGTTCCCATGGGCTGGGCTTTGTGACACATACATGCCTCAAACTTCAACCTCCTCAGCTTCCTGTCCTTGTAAACCCAGTGATACCCATATTTGGAAAGTGAAACTTGATTTTTCAAAAAAAAAAAGGTGTGTAGAGGTGGGTGGGACTCAACATGGGACAGTCCTGAGCCAGCCCAGAGCTGGAGAGCTGATAGGTCACATTCTTGTCCCGGGCTCCACAGCAGCTTTCCACGAAAGCCTGTTTTCCTGGGGTGTTGGTCGTTTTCCTTGGCTGCAGCTCAGGGAAATAGGTCTGGGCTACGTCACCTTGTCCTTTGGCTGATTGGAGTCCATGCTCTCCCCTCAGGACACGTATTTCCTGAGTGCAGAGGAGTGCATCACAGCTGGCAACTTCCAGAACCAGCAGCCCAACATCTGTCGCCTCTCTCCCGATGGGCACTTTGGATCCAAGTTTGTCACAGTTGTGGCTACAGGTACAAACTGGCTTCAGCTCTCCAGGCTTCACCTGAATTACCTCTTGTCAGTAGAAAAATATGTCAAAAATCACATGTCCTGCTCCCCATCTGTCCTATTCAACAAGGGGTTTGCTCTATCAACTGAAATACTTCCTCATTCTTTGTTTTATCCTCTCTACAATACTCACTCATTATTTATTTGCCTGGTTTTTACTCTACAACTGTTTAAAGAGACTTATTTGAGGCTCAGCCCCACCTCTGTGACCCAGAAATCACTCTCTGCCTGCAGCCAGGGCAACAACTGTTGCTCACTTTTTATTTCAAATCCTTAAGCTCCAAATTCTGTTGCCTGGAAGCAGCAGTGCAGAACCACAACACTCCAGAGTTATGGATTAGTTCCTCCTTCAGGAGGGATCTTTACCTCCCTCATGTTGCTGTCAGGGAAACCTGACAGGGGAAAAAAAATCTGTCAGGGGTAAAAAAAAAAAATGTTTGGAAACATTTTTTTGTCTGAGTAAAACAGAAGCTCCTGCAAAATGCTTATGGTTAAATCCTCTGGTTTTAGCTGTTTTCAGGGAGTCTCCAGAGGCACTGTAGATGGGCTGGGCTGGGAGGGGGGACACTGGCATGTGCTGGGAGGGCTGGAGTGTTCCCAGTTCACTCTGTTCTTCTCCATGGGGTGACACATGTCTTCATTTAAACCTTCCCTGGAGCGGAATCGCTGGTTCTGGCTCTGTTTAACACAATGAAAAAACCCTCATGACTTCCAAATAACATCCAGAGTGAAAAGTGAAAGTGGGATGGGACATTGCCTGCCCTGAGCCTGGCTTTGTAAGGGTTCCCAGGGCCTTTTTTCAGTGAAAAAGTTCTTTTTTTAGTTTAGTTTCATTATGTTCCAGACTGCAAAACACATCCATCTCTCATTAAATATAGATCTGTATCTCTCTTTCTTATATATTTATTTATTTAATTTTTTTTTTAAAAAACCAAGGTGTTTTACTGAGCAAACACACTGCGTTCAGGCTTTCCTCCATCCTGGTCTATGTTTAATTTCTAGGAGTGTTTGTTCTGGAGCAGTGAGTGATTGAGGTTACAGATCAAAGGGTAGAAAAGAAATATTTCCTCTTTGCTGTTCCAGCTAATTTAATTCTCCTCTGTTCAATCAGCCCAGCAGGTTCTATTTAAACACTCAAGTCCCTCTTTTTGTGCTGCAGAAATGTATTTGGATAGTTTGCCTCAACTTTGCCTTTAAATCCTCCACATGGATTCATTCCTATTCCCTCCTGAATTCCTAGCTTTGGAAATAGTAATGTTTTCCTGCCATCTGCCTCCCTCCTCTCTTTCCAGTTGTATTCCAGTGACACATGACCTGATGTTGCTTACATTATCCAGATGAAAGCGCCAAGCATGTGATCCTTCCATGAGCCAGGCTCTTAATTCCCACTTTCCATGTCAGATTTCCACCAAACCATCCAGTACAGGCTGAGAAAACACTGTTCAGGCCTGGCATGGCCAGGTGATCTGCAGCTCAGGGATCCTTGGCAGTGAAACAGGCCCACAGGAGCTGCATGCCTGAGTTTTGTTTGGAAGAGGAGGAGATACCTGCAGGGTAGTGGAAGGTTATGTCAGAGCCCCCAAAAGCAGCTCCTCTTCCTTGGAGCTCCTGGCAGAGCATCCCTGCTGTTCCCTGGGCTCTGTGCTCTTGGGATAATTGTGGAAATGTGTGTGGCTATAAAAATACGGAGTTAAGAGGGAATTCTTGCCGAAGATTCTTGCCATGCAGCAGCACCAGAAGCTTCATCTCAGTATTCATCACTGTTAGCTTTGTGCTTAATCATGGACTCTTTGAATTAATGTTGGAAAAGAGCTCCAAAATCATCGAGTCCAACCTTTGTGCTGCTCTTCCAGTTGTTTCAGTTGGAGTTACACCAGGGAAATCACCCCTGTGCAGGATTTTCAGGAAGAATTTCTTCATGGGAAGGGTTGGGAGATGGAGTCCCCACCCCTGGGGGTGCCCAAGGATGTCTGCCTGGGTGACAGTGTGCGGATCAGTCACACATGAGTCTTGGAGCTGTTCTCTAACCTCGGTGATCCTGGGATCTTTAACCATCCTGTCCTCCTCCAGGTGGTCCTGACAACCAGGTGCACTTTGAGGGGTACCAGGTGTCGAACCAGTGCATGGCCCTGGTGCGGGACGAGTGCCTGCTGCCCTGCCGGGACGCGCCGGAGCTGGGCTACGCCAAGGAGTCCAGCAGCGAGCAGTACGTGCCTGATGTCTTCTACAAGGTGAGCGCTGAGGCCTGAGCTTCTGCAGCTCCAGGATGTGCCCCTGCATCCAAGCACTGATCCTGAGGAGCAGCAGGGAGAATGTGCATCCAGAGCAGGTCCAGAATAACTCGGTGTCCTCGAGTCGTGGAATGGTTTGGGTTGGGAAGGACCTTAAAGCTCATCCTGTTCCACCCCTGCCGTGGGGAGGGACACCTTCCACTATCCCAGGTTGCTCCAAGCCCCATCCAACCTGGCCTTGGACACTTCCAGGGATGTGTAAAGTGGTATAGTGGGTAAAGTGCCAGGGCCTCATCCCCCTTACAGGGAAGAATTTCTTTCCAATATCCCATCTAACCCTGCCCTCTGGCAGTGGGAAAGCATTCCCCCTGTCCTGTCACTCCACCCCTTGTCCCTCTCCAGATTTCTTGGAGCTTCTTTAGGCACTGGGACTCTCAGGTCTCCGTGGAGACTTCTCCAAGTAAGTATCTCCAGGTGAATACCCCCTCCACATCCTCCCAGTGCTGAGGAGCCCAGAGCTGGAGCAGCTCTGCAGGAGGGGTCTTGGAAGGACATGAGGTGTCACTGCTGTCCCTGCCTGCTGCACTTGGGGGTTGTTGGTGATGGATGGAATGACATTATTCTCTTGCCAGTTGTTCCTGGAGCCCTTCAGCCCCTCCTGTGCCTGCATGGCCGAGTTGGGAGCTCTAGATCAGGCTCCCTGCCTATGCCGATAGTGCTGCTGCTCCAGCCCAGGGCTCCTGGTGCCCCATGAGCAGGGACAGAGAGTTAATTAATGGCACTGCTGGCTGGCTAATTAGCCATCCATCACCCCGTTAGTTATCTCCTTCCTGTCCTGTCTGCTCCTGCTGCCTGTGGTAACGCTGTCCTTTAAGGAGCACAGGACAAGGAAAGCTGCCTTTGTTTGGAAGGAGTGGAATGAGGGGACTGTGCTTCAGCAATGGGAATAGAGCTGATCAGGGTGTTCCTGCATGCCCTGAATGTGGGACTGGGAAGTGCTGCTTTCCCTCTGAGCCTTCCACTCCTTGGTGCCAGACTGCTGGCTTGCCTTGGCCCCACCTGGAAACAGGGAACACCTCTGGGCTGATTCCAGCACTGGAGAGGGAGAGCAGATGGAATCCTGCTCTCTCTGGAGCAGGCAGCTTCCTCCTAGGAGCTGATAAGCCAGGGCTGATCACAACCAAGCAGAGCTGGGTGTGCAGAGGTTGGCCCTGAACCTGAGGAGGGTGAGATCATCTCCTGGCGTGCCCTGATCCCGCTCAGGAGCAGCCCGGGCTGTGCCACACTCGGGCAGCCTCACAGGAGGTCCCGCAGCTCTGTGGCCCACATGTGGCCCACCCGGGGTGCTGGGAGCAGCAGGAAGCCGGGGGGTGTTCCCAGAAGGGTTTCACTCCCATCTCTAATCTAAAGCAGGGAGATAAACAAAATGGGAATGGATGGCTCCAGCCTTCCGTGGAAATTTCCATCATCCACTGATTCACTGGGTCAGGCTGCAGCTGATTTCATGTTTCAGAGCTTCTCTCCCTGATTGCGCTTTTCAGGAGTGCTCGAGGATGGCCCTGCTGGGTGGGATTCTCCCTCAGCCTCCAGCAGATTTGGCTCTAGGATCCTTCAATTATTTTTGAATGTTCTTAATTCTGTGGAAAGCTTTGTCACTCCTGGCTTGGGAAACCTTTGGGGTCCCATTAAATGTGCAGGGGTTGAGATCAGAGACACTGCCTCATCCTGGGATGGTGACAACAGTCGTGTCCGAGCCCCGGTGAGCTCCAGGAGGAGCAGGAATCTGGTGGCACAGGATGGAATCTTTGGGGTCCAGTACCTTGCTCTCCCTTTGTCCCCAGATGTGGAGTTCCCCTCTGTGCTGCCCCCCCCCAGCAGCAAGTTTTGGGGAGAAAGCTGCACTTTGGAGTAGTTCCTGTTTTCTTTGGGACTGTGCAGAGAAAAGTCCATGTGCGTTCCCATACAATATCCAAATATTCTTCTGAAAAGCCCTTTAGGATGAAAGGAGCTCTACAAATTAATTCTGATTGGATGAGGACCAGGAGACTGATGTTTGTGGCGTGTGGATATATTTATAGAACAGCGAGATGTGAGGCAGGATCTGTGGAACTCAGATCTGTCCGAGGGCAGCACAGTGGATTCACCTCCAGCTTACAAATGGGAAAAGGAGCTGCTTTTCTTCCATGGAAATGGGAAAGCTGATGGCACTGGCATTGTCCTGTGGTTTTCCTGAGCCTGCATCTGGGTTGTTTCTGTATTTCTTTACCATTCCCTTTACATTGGCTCCTGGCCTGCTGCTCCAAGGAGCCGCCCCCATGGAATTGGCTTTGGACATGCAGCCGTTGCTGTCCTGGCTCAGGAAGGGAGAGCTCTGCTCTAGTGGGGATCTCGAGGGGTTTGGGCACTGTGAAAACAAGTTCCTTTGCTCTGAGGTGCCTCCTCCCAGGTAAGATTAGCCAGGAGGAAAAACGTATCCCTGCTGACCTCCAGGAGTGTCTGGGAAGCATCATGGCCCAGCACTGGTTCCAGCTGGAGCGGGGCAAAACCAGCACGTGCTGCTTGGCCAGCTCAGCACACGGAGCTCAGGGACGAGTCCATGATGTGCAGACAGACACAGGCTGGGATAAAGACCCTGTGAGTGAAGATGATGATGTTGCAACAGCCACTTCACCCAGTTTCTGAGCTGGATGAGGGTGAGCCTGGCTGAATATTCCACACGATTTTCCATCCTGTCTTCTGTCCTTGAGCAGCCTCCTCTGTCCATCTGGTTTTAGGAAGCAGCTGGATTGATTTGGATTTCATTGAGAATGTACCTTGGGTTGATATTCAACACTGAGGGAGTGCTCAGGGTGCAGCTGGGGGATCCCTCCCTGGGATGTGGTGTTGCTGCACCACATCCCAGCTGTCACCTCCTCCCAGTCCACTGGAACTCTGCAGTGCTGAACTGCTCCAGCATTAACTTCATCAACTGTGGGAAGAGATTCCTGGTGTTTTACAGACACTTTGAAACTCCTGGATAATTGGATTTGGGGGCTGGCTGGCTTTGTCTCTTATGACAGGTATTTGTGACAGCTCGGTGCAAATACAATGTCATCGTCATCCTCGCAGTGAATGGCATTTTCCAGCTGCCTTAAGATCCCCCCAGAGTTTCTTTAGGATGGTTTAATGTGCCTCCAGAGTTTCTTTGGGATGGGATGGTTTAACATTGCCCCAGAGTTTCTTTGGGATGGTGTAAGACAAAAGCCTTTTACAAGCGTTTTGCAAGAGCCCTTTGCCCTCGAGTCCTGCACGTGCTCTGAGTCTCCTGCGGCTGAGCCGTGGCTGAGCCGTGGCCTGGCACCAGTGGCATGTGTCCCATCCCTCCCTGGGACAGCCCAAGCCAAAGGCCCTGCTTTTGTGAGAGCCCAGCAGGACCTCTGAGGCAGGCTGTCCTACCATGGCGTTGGAAATCCTCTTCCCAGGGAGAGCCAGGCTGCGGGGAGTGTTCACTGACGGGGAAGGACTTCCCTGGCTGCCCTCCCACCGGCTCATGAGCCGCCTTAGCCTCAAATGTCCCAGATGCTCCTGGGAGGAGGACGCTGGATTAGCTCAGCAGGAGTCTCCTGGGGCGGGTTTCAACCCTCCCTGACCTGTCACTTGCTCTTGGAGAAGTCGCTCCGTTTCTGCGCCTCAGCCGCGCTGCGCGTGCGAGGGGCAGGACTGCCCGGGAAGGCGCCTGGATCCAGCAGAGGGAAGAGCAAAGCTGGGATTTACTCACACATGGGAAGGACAGATGGCTGCCGAGCTCCGCCGTGCCTTCAGCAGAGGGAGCAGGTCGGGAATAACGGCGTGGGATGCGGGATGCTCCCGGCACGGGATGGTGACAGCGTGGGATGGTGACAGCGTGGGACGCTCACGGCTGTCCTGGGATGCGGATCCCGAGCCTCCCTCCTGGCTGGCAGCTCCCCTGCCTCCTCACTTGGCTGTTACCCTCATCCTCCGTGGATAATCCTGGGGCCACCCAGATGTTTTTCCATCCTGCCAAGGTGTCAGTGTTCCTACCCTTTTCCCCGTTCTCCCTCATCCTTGTGCAGCTCCTGCCTCCAAACAGTGGGTTGAAGGGCTCTAACCCCAGCCTTGATGCAGTCTCCACTGGGATGAGACATTGTCCAGACCCTCCAGGCCTTGATGCTGGATTTTTGTCCTGAAGCCAAATGCTTCTCACTCCATTAACCTCTTCCTGGCCTCCCAGAGCTGGTACCACTGGGCTTTGAAGGTCTCAGGCTGCAGCAAATAACAGGATGCTGGGAGGGTCCTGGTGATGCCAAGTTCAGGAGAAGCATCTTTCTCTCAACAATCCCAACTTGATGTTCATTAAGGCCTTTAAAATATAATTAAATAATCGTGGTGGTGGGAAAGGGATGTTGGGGTTTGGGGGAGACTGTCCTGTCAGGATCAGGGCATGTCCTCAGCTCGGGGAGAGTGAGGTTCCAGTCTGTGGATGTCTTTGAGGCCTCAGCAGCATGCCATGAAAAAGCAGGCATTTAACATGGAAATCCCCATGGTGGGAGATTAAAGCCAGCAGGTGCTGGGAAAATGTTTCTGCATATTAGAACTTAATTAGATTGGAAAATAAATTCCAGATGGGCTAATTATGCATGAGTTGTTGCAGGTCCCTTCATGCAGGGGCAGGATTGTGTTTGGGAAGCTGATTGGATCTGATTCCTGTCTCTTGTGGTATCACTGAGATCTAGAAGCAGGTTGGCTCTGGGGTCTTGTGATCTCCCAAAAAAAGGCTCCACAGCTCCTCCAGCTCCTGTCAGAGCCAGAGAGATCTGAGGCCACAACCTGTCATGTGCGAGGAGCAAAGATCCTTATCAGGATTGCCTTTCAAAGGCGCTTCAAAGACTGGAAGGGAGATTTTTTTTTTACGGGGGAACAGTTCCTGGGGACAGGGGCTGCTTGGGGAGGGGGTCGGGAAGGGGGGCTGTGCCTGGAGGGGAGCAGCGTGCTGGAGCCTGCTGGGGCGAGGTCTGACTGGGAGAGGCATGGTGCTGGCTGCTGCTCCGCATAGCTGTGCTGTGTAAACACCAGGGAGAGCGGGGGAGTGGTGCTCTCCGGGAGAAAACACGGCTGGGAGAAAGGGGAGGGAGTCCTGGAGTCAGCCGTGGGCAGCGGAGCCCTGCATGGTGCTCCCTGGCTCAGCCCATGGAATGCTGCTCCCGTCCCACACGGGAAGAGCGGGGCTTTGTCACCTTTGTGGGGGTGACAGCTCCGGATCCAGCTTCCACCACTGAGAGCCCCTGGATCGTCCAGTACAACGTCCCTGACTGGGAATTACGGGTGTATGATTTATGTGGGGCTCCATGAATGATTTATGCCACGTTAAGTGATGATTTAGGGAGAAAACACAACCCCCTCGTACGGAATCTTTAATGAAAAGTGTCAGTTCTCCGGGATTTATTTCCGAAGCGGCGTTTGAACCCGGCGTGTTTGACATCAATCACGTCTAATTGTCAGGTTATGATTAATGAACATATGCCGGCCGTTTGTCTGCCTAATTAAACTTTATGTTCCCTTCGTCTGGCAAAGCAAAACAAGTTTACGCCATGGGATGTGCTGGTTCCAAGGGTCTGGGTGTGAGAAAGGGCCTGGATTCCCAATTCCCAGGTGGAGAGTTGGTTGAGGCACTCCTGGATTTGCAGAACGGCAGGTTTGCTTGGGCTGAGGAGGCAGAGGTGACCTGTTCCTCTCTTGAAGATGGAGCTGCTGCCTAAAAGGCATTTAAAATCAGGGAATCACAGGATATCTGCAGTTGGAAGGGATGCACAAGGATCACAGAGTCCAACAACCCCAGGAATCCCACCTTTACACTCCGTGGATAATTCCAAGCCTCTCTCTAGTGGGAGACAAGCCAAGGTGGTTTGTGACTCCACACTCTCTTGGCTCACAAGGAGACAAGATCTCCAGCCCCAGGGAGCAGCAGGGAATTTGGCAGCCCTGCACCACCCATCCACGTGCTTTTCCACACCCTCAGTGATGTGCCAGAGCACAGGATTCTGCATGAGCATCTTTTGGGTTTCACACCACTTCCATGCTCAGGAATAACCCAACTTTTTTTCTTTCAGGACATAGACAAGTTTGGGAACGAGATCACCCAGCTAGCTCGTCCGCTGCCGGTCGAGTACCTCATCATAGATGTGAGTATTCCCTGCACGTTTGCTTCCCACAGGAGATGGCCACAGGGGAGCAAGCTCCTAACCCACCTCTGAAACTCCCAGTGGAAGGGATTCCTGAGACAGATTATCCTCCTCTGCCTGCTGCTGCCAAGCATTCCTAGCAGGGAGGTGGCTGCCCTGCTCTGTGGGGTCGGTGTGGTGCCAGGAACACATTTGTTTTCCAGGAAAGCACTGCCTGGTGCCTTATCAGGGCTCTGAGCTGGCCCAGAGCCACATGGCCGGGAAGCAGCAGCCCCACAGACCCGTGTCCCGGGCACTGCCTAATGAGGAAACTCCAGAGCAGCAATTAGGGATCCATCTCCTTTGAGTGACTCAGCAGGTCGTCCAGAAATGCCTTTTCTTGGAGGAGGGAATTTGCTCTCTGGCACAGCTTGGCCGGAGCAGAGCTGCTGCCAGGCACGGCACAGCTCAGCCCTGGGGCTGGGAAACAGAGTTACGGCGTGGAAGGCAGGAAAGCAAATAATTGGGATGCCAGATGATATTGCTGGAGTTGGGGGTTGTGCCAACAACCATTAGATCCACCTGGAGCAACCTCTCAGGTCCAGCTGCCCTTGGCATAGGCAGTGCCAGAGCAAAGGAATTCCTGCAGGAATGAAGGCACTTGTTCCTGGGATACCTGGGGTGTCACTGGGATGAAAACAGAGGGGTGGAACATGCATTAGGATCCCCCCAGGACCTCCCTGAAGCAGCAGCTGCCTGGCACAGGGCACAGCTGTGCCAGAATTGCTGTGACCTGTGCAAAGAGGGATGCTCTCCATGGCAACTGTCAAGACCAAACCCATCATGTCCCTCCAGCTTCCTTAGAAAGGGAGCCAAGAGGTGTGGTGATGGAATATCACTTCAAATTCAGTTAAAAGTCATCAGATCCCTGCAGGATGCCTCACTATTTGGCTGAGCTGGGATCATGGCTGTGGCTGTTCTCAGCTATCTGGACTGGCTTTCCTTATCCCACTGGATTCTGATCATCCTTCCTTGGATTTTTTTTTTTTTTTTTTTTTTTTTTTAGATTACTACAACTTTCCCCAAGGATCCAGTCTACACTTTTTCTATTTCTCAAAACCCATTCCCCATCGAGAACCGCGATGTGCTGGGTGAAACTCAGGTGAGGGGCAATTCCTGACGGAGCTGGGTTCCCTGGGGATGGGCTCTGCTTCCCTCGTGCTCAGACATCTGCAGAGGGACAGCTGTGCCCTCAAGTCACCCCTTCCCTGCTCAGCCTGCCAAGTTCCTTCCTGCACGGAGCAGTGTCTGCGTGCCAATGCCGACTGCCGGCCAGTGCTGAGCTCCTGCCACATCCACGATGGGATCCGGGCTCCCTGCACCTGCCCGGCAGCTCCAGAGGGACCAGGGGGCTCCAGCCCCATGGTGACAGCACAGACCTGCAGAGACTGGGGTCTGTTCCTGCTTCCTGCTGTCTTCTCTTCCTGGATGGAATCTTTAAGCACAGAAAGCGGTTCCTGCAAGAGGCCAAGGCAGGGGGTGGGATGGGATGTCCTCTTCTCCCTCTTTTCTGTAGGAACAAGGCTGGAGTTGCCTGGCTCCCCCTCAGCACCTCTTGGATCTGTGATCAGCTCTGTGGGTGCTGGGGTTGGTCAAGAGGAGCTCCTGTGGGTCCAGAGATTTCCCTGAAAGTTGTTAGCTGGGATTCAGTCAGCCAGGCAGAGACCTGATTTTGGGAATGTCCCTGCAGACAATTGCAGACATTATCCAGAGGGACAGGAATATCTGTTAGTGGATCCAAACAGGAATTGACTTCTCTTCATTACTCTCCCCTCTCCCCAGGACTTCCACAGTTTGGCCACGTACCTGTCCCAAAATACTTCCTCCATTTTCTTAGACATCATTTCCGATTTCCATCTGCTCCTCTTCCTGGTCACAAACGAGGTCATGCCTCTGCGGGTACGTAACGGGGCTGGGAGGGTCCTGTCCCCACACCATTCCCCCCATGCCGGGGCCCTCAGCCACTCCAGGAGTCCCTCAAGAGGGTGGAGGTGACTGTTCCTGCCATCCCATGACCCTGCTCAGGGCCTCGTGCTGGCTCTTCCCAACCAAGCTGTTGGGAGAAGGTTTAAAGAGTTTTAAAAGCTTTTTTGAACTCTAAACACAAAGCCCCTGAGCTGCTGGGAGCACTGTGGGGGGTGGTTGTCCACATGATCCCAGAGCCAACTTGGCTGCAGCTTCCAGAGCTGGAAATGTTTTAAAAATTATCTCAGATTCAGGAATTCGGTGGGAACAATAAGGAGATCAGAGCCCCCAGAGCTCAAGGCCAGTGAGGTCCTGGCTGTGCAGCTCTGCTGCCCTTGGCTGGGCACCGGGGCCCCGGTGGCTGCCCCGGCACCGCCGGAGCTTCCCAGTGAGATGCAGCTGGGCTGTGCTTGCCAGAGGCTGCGCATGTGCGAGGCAGCCAGGATGACCGTGGGCAGCTGGAGATCAGGATGGGAACAGGGATGGGGGCTGGAGCACTCCAGCACAGAAGGATTGCATCTCTGGAAGTTGGGACTGGCCCGCAGTGCTGGGACACTGGCCCACAGGGGTAGGGAAGACGTTCTGGAAGCAGAGGAAAGGAGCTTCTGGGGTGTTGGGATCTGTCTGAATGCTGGGGAGCAGAGGGATAAACTGGGGCACCCCAAGGATGTTGTGAAAGGGGGAACAGCTCAGATTCAGGGTCCTGCCTTGCACTGGAGGGGTCCCCAGTGCTCATTTCCTACCTGTGACTTCCAGGACAGCATCAGCTTGTTGCTGGAAGCCGTGAGGACTAAAAATGAGGAGCTTGCACAGACCTGGAAAAAATCGGAGCAGTGGGCGACCATCGAGCAGCTCTGCAGTAAGAGGGGGAGAGTTCCCTGGGGCAGGGTGTCCCTCAGGGAGGGGTGTCCCTTGGCTGAGCTGGCTTGGGAGCTGCTCCCAAGCTGCCAAAGAGGCAACTGCAGGCTCACGTGGAGGAGGCTGTTCCTTGGTCACAGGATCCTGGAATAGTTTGGGTTGGAAGGGATCTTGAAGCTCATCCCACCCCCCTGCCATCTTCCACCTGACCAGCTTGTTCCAAGCCCCATCCAAGCTGGCCTGGAGCATTCCCAGGGCTGGGGCAGGGCTGCAGGGTGGGATGTGCAGCAGGATCCCAGCACTGCCCCGGGCTCTCTCCCGCAGGCACGGTGGGTGTCCCGCTCCCGGGACTGCAGGAGTATGGCGCCATGGGGGGCTCGTCGCACGCCGTGGCCGCGGCCATGTGGCCCTGCCAGCACTGCACCTTCATGAACCAGCCGGGCACGGACCACTGCGAGATGTGCAGCCTGCCCCGTTCCTAGCCCCGCTCCTGTCGGGGGCCACCCGCAGCGGCCGGCGTGGCGCCCGTCCCTTCCCGCTCCTCCCTTCAGCTTCCAGCCCGGGCTGCGGAGCCAGGCACGGGTGGCTCCAGCCCCCCAGTTACTCCTCGCTCCCTTTTGGGGGCTCCCAGCCCGGAGAACCAACGCTTTCCTCAGCCCGTGCCTGGGCTGGCCCCCCACCACCCTCAGCTGCTGCCAGCCTGCCCTGGGGGAGCTGGGAGGCTTAGGGAGCTGCCTGTGCCCGCTTCCTACCCAAGGGGAGAGGGAGGCTTTGGCATCTCCCTGCCCACAGCTTTGCTCTCATTCCCTGCCCGCCTGAGTGCCTGGATCCCGACAGCTCCGGCGCTGGCCGGCCCCGGTGGCACGGGCAGGTGGCTGTCACGTTCCCAGAGCAGGACAGGCACCCCTGGACACCGAGCATGGGGTGGGCACGTGCCAGCTTGTGGCTTGGCATTGCTTGGTGAGCTTTGGCACCCCGTGGGCGCTGTGGGAGGGGTGTCCCCTCCGGGTGCTGTGTCCCCTCTGGGTGTGCATGGTTGGGCTCCCAGGGAAGGGTTGCGGGGCAGCCACGTAACTCAGGCACCCACCTCGCCTCCATAGTGCCCTGGGAGCCAGTCCTTCAGTTGGTGCCTTCCCATCCCTCTGGAGCGTGTCCTGGCCGGAGCTGGGGCTCGGGGGTCTTGCCCCTCAGCCTCCCTTCAGCCCCCAGCTGGGGCTGCCCTGGGCACTGCTGGGCAGGGGAGAGGGGCAGGCGGATGCTGGAGGGGCTCAGGCCTCCTCTCCCAGAGGGTTTCTGACCCCCAGGCCCACCCTGGAGCTCCCCAGCCCTGGCTCCACCGGCTCTGGTTCAATCCCGGGGACACCAGTTCCAGCACTGCCCCAAGTCCCCTCATGGGAGGGGTCCGGAGGGCCTGTCCTGCTCCAGGACAGCACTGCCCAGACCCCAGTGGGGCAGGAATCCCCTGCCCCTCGCCAGGGCTTTCCAAAGGCTTCATCCCAAGGCCCGGCTCCGGGCTGCGGTTGCTTTTCCCCTGGGTGTGCTGGGGTTTGGGGGTGCAGCGCTGGGGGTGCCCGGGCCGGGCTGGGCTGACCCAGGCACGGGGGCTGCAAGTAACGTGGAATAAAAGCACCTCAAACCAGAGCCTCCTGCACTCTGTCACCTGTCCCGGGGTGCTCCACATTCCCAACAGGAACTGGGGAACGCTGCACTCCAGTGTTTGCCTCCCTCATCTGGGCCAGGATGGGGCTGGGATACTCTGTGTTCCCAGTGGAATCTGGGGGACCCTGTGTCCCACTGCTGTCTTGTGCACTCTGTCACCTCGGGTGGGGCTGGGATGCTCTGTGTTCCCGATGGGAATGGGTGGGATGCTGTGCCTCAGCACGGTGCCACCTCTGCTCTGTCATCTGTGCCAGGATGGGACCAGGACGCTCCGTGTTCCCAACTGGAACAGGGGGACACAGCACCGTGCCTCCTGTGCTTTGTCACCTGCCGGGACCCTGCTCCCCGGGGCCGTGCCACCTGCACTCCATCTCCGCGCTCCCGCCGGGACTGTGGTCCGGGCTCGTGTCCGCGGTCTGTTTGCAATCAGCCCCGGACCGCGTGAGGCCGGGCCCGGTGCCAGCCGCAGCCTGGAAAAGGGGGAGCGGGAGCGGCGGGAGGCAGAGCCGGGGAGCGCAGCCCGGCGAGCGGCCGCGGGACCGGGGAGGCGGCGGCTGCCCTGCCCTGCCCGGGGCACAGCAGCGCCCGGGGACGCGGGGACACGGCCCCGCCATGGCCCGGCTGCTGCCGCTGCTGCTGCTCGCCGCCCTGGGCTGCGCCGCCCGGCCGGGCCGGCGGCCGGCGGCGGGGCACGATGGAGCGGACGGTAATTGTCACCCTCGGGACCCCTTCCCTCGGGGCGGGCGCTGACCGGGCAGCTGGCCCGGTGCGGGGCCGGGCGGTGCCGGGTGAGCCTCCTGCTGCTGGCGGCTGCTCCTGGTCCCAGCCCGGCCCCTCCAGCCCAGAGAGCCGCGGCGAGGGGCTGCGCCAACCTGACGCTGGTCCTGGACAACTGGAAATTCGCCATCACGTCCCAGCTGCGGAACCTGCTGCTGTCGGACCACCAGAGCGTGCTGCCCGACTACGGCCGGTGAGGTCCCTGCGGGGATAGCTGGGCACCTCGGGGATATCCGGGGCTCCCTGTCCTCACCCCGCCGCGCCCGCAGGATCCCGGCGCTGTCGGGGGCCCTGGACGAGCTGTACCGGGACTTCCGCGGCCTGAAGGAGCAGCTGGGCCGGCTCTCGGACCGCTTCGCCCACATCGAAGCCTCCGTGGAGCAGCTGAGCCGGGCCCGGGGCGCTGCAGCCGCCCCGCGCCGGGGAGGGATCGCCCCGAGCCCCCGCAGGGCCCGCGGGACCCCGCAGTGAGCGAGCCGAGCCCGGCCCGCGGCGGGGCGGCGGGGCTCGGGCTGGGGGCACGGGCTGGGGGCACGGGCTGGCCTGGGGTGCTCAGCATGGAGGTACGGGGGCATGGCTTGGGGGGCTCAGCCAGGCTGGGGGCACGGGCATGGCCTCGGGGGCTCAGCCCGGGGACACGGGCATGGCTTGGGGGGCTCAGCCTGGGGGTACAGGCATGGCCTGGGGGGCTCGGGCTGGGGGCACGGGGGCATGGCTCGGGGGGCTCAGCTAGGCGGGGGTCACGGGCATGGCTTGGGGGGCTCAGGCTGCGGGCCAAAGAGGCATCACTTTGCCGGGCTGCGGAAAGACCTGAAGAGGCTCAGGCTGGGGGACATAGGGACATCACTTGGGGGTCTCAGGGTTATCACTTGGGGGTCTCATACCGGGAGACTCAGGGCCATCACTTGGGGGTTTCAAGCCGAGAGACTCAGGGCCATCACTTGGGGGGTCTCAACCGGGGGGCTCAGGGTTATCACTTGGGGGTCTCAAACCGGGGGACACAGGGTCGTCACTTGGGGGTTTCAAGCCGGGAGACTTGGGGTCATCACTTGGGGGTCTCAGCCAGACTTTTGGGGGTCCATCCTCGTGGGTCAGGGTCAGCTCGGGGGGTCTCTGCCCCCCTCGGTGGTCGCACCCGGCCCCTCTTTCTATCAATAAAGCCGCTGCCGCCAGCACGCCTCGCTCCTTTCTCCCCGTGCCGGGATGGGGGGTCACTCGCGGGGCGGGG